AACTGTAGGATTAATAGTAAGAGCTGAAATCCAATACTGAGCTAAAGTATCCTCTTGATAACTTTCTTCCACCTCTTGAACCCAAGCAGGTATTAAAACAGTAGCTTGTAAAGCAAAGTAGTGAGCCTGATCCTCCCATCTTCTAGATAAGGCATCAGCAACAACATTCAACTTCCCTTTTCTATACTGTATGGTATAGTCCAACCCCAGAAGCTTTGTCAAACCTCTTTTCTGAATAGTGGTAGTCAGTTTCTGTTCTAAAAGAAACTTTAGAGGCTCATGATCAGTCTTAATAATAAAAGATTTACTCTCCAAATAATGTCTCCATTTTGAAACAGCCAAGAGAATAGCAAGGTATTCTCTTTCATATATAGATAATGCTGAATTTTTTGGACTTAGAGCTTGACTTAAATAAGCAATAGGTCTTCATTCTTGTGAAAGAACAGCCCCTATACCTCCAGAACTAGCATCTGTTTCTAGATAAAATGTTTTAGAAAAATCTGGTAAGGCCAAAACTGGAGCAGAACACATAGCCAATTTAAGATCATCAAAAGCTTTATAAGCAGCATCAGTCCACTGAAATCCATCCTTTTTCAACAATTGTGTCAAAGGCCTACTAATAATGCCATAATTTCTGATAAATCTTCTGTAATATCCAGTTAGGCCTAGAAATCCTCGTAAAGATTTAAGAGTTTTAGGCTTAGGCCAATTCTGCATAGTTTCCACCTTGCTAGGGTCAGTAGATACCCCTGCAACAGAAATAATATGACCAAGATACTCCACCTGATTTTGTCCAAAGAAACACTTGGACCATTTTTCAAATAATTGATTCACCTTTAACACCTCTAAAACCAGCTGTAAGTGTTCAATGTGATCCTGCATACTGCTACTGTATACCAATATATCATCAAAGAAAACTAAAACAAATTTTCTGAGAAAAGAATTGAATAATTCATTCATAAGTGCCTGAAATGTAGCAGGAGCATTAGTAAAACCAAAAGGCATTACCTTGAACTCATAATGACCTTGATGAGTTCTAAAGGCTGTCTTGTAAATATCTTCAGGTTTAATTTTGATCTGCCAATAACTTGACCTCAAATCAATTTTTGAAAAGTATACTGCCCCATGTAACTCATCCAACAAATCTTCCACTATAGGAATAGGAAATTTGTCTTTGATGGTCATACTATTTAATTCTCTGTAATCCACACAAAATCTCCAAGTTCCATCCTTTTTTTTAATTAGAAGGCAAGGAGAAGCAAATGGGCTCTTACTAGGTTGAATAACAGAAGAAGAAAGCATAGAAGCTATTTGTTTTTCCACTTCAGCCTTTTGATTGTAAGGAAATCTGTAAGGCCTTAAATTGACAGGTGTAGCAGTAGATTTGAGTTGAATAGCATGGTCATGAGATCTCTGAGGAGGTAACCCTTTAGGTTCATCAAAAACTGATCTGTACTGATCCAACACATGTTGAATTTCAGTAGGAATAATAGTAGACTTCCCATCCATATTCAATAAAACAACATGACCCAAAATATCTGAATCCCATGCAGACATTTTAAGTAGTATAGCTCCATAAATTTGTAGTAATTCATTAGAGGGCTGTTGACCTTGAATACAAATCTGATCCCCTTGATGATCAAAGCTCAAAGTCATGTTGTTGAAGTCCATTAGTATTGGACCGAATAACTTCATCCAATCAACCCCCAAGACCATGTCACTTCCTCCCAATTTAAGCAGCCTAAAATCATGTAAAAAAGTATGGCCCTGCATTTGTCATTCTACCTTGTTGCAACGAGCTGAGCTGAATAATTTCTGGCCATTAGCCACAGTGATAGCCAGAGGATTAGGGGTAGTAATTTGTATATCAACATCAACCCATTTAGGGGTTAAAAAGCTATGTGTGCTTCCACTATCAATTAAGATATTCAGGGGTTTCCCTTGAATAGTACCCTGAATTCTCAAAGTATTATGGCCAATACAACCCGTAATGGCATTCATAGAAATTTCTAGATTTTCTTCTTCTGGCTGCTGAATCTGTTCTGCATCAGTGGCACTAACTTCCACAGGAAAATTATCAATCTCTTCAGTCATCATATTGAACTGCCTGTTTTTACACTGATGGCCTGGTAAATATTTCTCTCCACATTTGAAACAAAGATTATTTTGCCTTCTATAATCCATAAGATTCTGTTTTGGATTAGATGATGAGGTCGGCTTTGTAGACACTGGCATAGCAGGTGTCTTAGACATAGATATGGGGTTTGGGTAGGGTGGGGTTTTAAAAGAAGGCCTTAATCTTTTATTTTCAAACTCCACAGAAAGTTCATAAAGCTTGGCCTTTTTACATGCTTCAAACAAGTTTCTAGGATCCAAAGCCTTGACCCTATGCTTAATATCATCTCTTAGACCACTAATAAAAAGTGATACAAAGAACTCCTCAGTTAAAGTAGGATTCTGCAACAACATATAGGGTTGTAACTCCTCAAATTTTTCCTGATAATCTTCCACTGATCCTTTTTGAGTCAATTTAGTAAACTCTTCCACAATATCACAGAAAGATCTATCACTGAATCTGTGACAGATATCAGCTTCAAATTCATGCCATGTTACATGGTGCTTCTTCATTATATATCCATCAAACCATATTTCTGCTTTGCCTGTCAAATACATAGTAGCTACCTCTACTCTTTGCTCAACCGGAACACTACAAATAGAGAAATATTTTAAGCATTTTTGAATCCATCCCCTAGGATTGACCCCATCAAAAAATGGTAGATCTATCTTAGGTCTGTGCCACATAGTTCCAGCACTGTTAAGTGAACCTCCTGGCCCCCTTTTTTCAGTTTCCAATCCAAACAGATTAGGTCTAGAATCACTGTTTTCACCCACTTGATTTTCAGGCCTAAAACTGTTCTTAAGAGCTAAACATGCATCCGGTTTAGTCTTTAATAACCCAGGTTCATCCGGTTTATAGGTAAATCTAGACTTGTCATTCACCACAGTCACCAAAACAGGATTTCTGTCCTTATTTTTAGAAGTATCAGGAGATTGTACCTGCTCATCAGTAGAATGCTCATGTTCCTCATTCCTTCCTGTCAGAATCTTTAACAGTTCCTTCACATAACCCTGATTAGTGGCCATTCTGGACTCTAATGCAGTGATTCTATTCTCTTGAGTCTCCCACCATTTAGGTGGATTAGTTTCATCTTGCCCCTTCTTCACCAAAGCAGCTAAGTCTTCAATCTGTTTTTGTATCCCAGCTAAATCAGTTTCCGCCATAGACTGGTTCTTCTTTGTCATGCCCCCCAGAAATTTTTGCCAGAATCAAAGCTCTGAATACCAATTGTTATGGTTTGAGAGAAGAAGGAATTAGGAGAAGAATTCAGACGAGAGAGAGATGATAGAGAAGAAAATTCATCATTCAATTTACATAAGGAAATTTTTACACCAGATTCTGTTAATTATTTAGTTACAATGGCCAATCATTAATTGCCAGCTGTCCAGCTATGTAACAAACTGATTCTTCTCTTTCTTCTCTTTCACATGTACTGGGCCTTCTGTCTTGGGCTTCTCCTTCAGTCCATCCTCTTGCTCGGCCTACTCTGTAAGTAACCCCTTACCTTTCACCTGATTGAATTCCCAATTTGTTTCTTCAATCCCTAACCCTCGACCTTCATTTCCCAAATGTTCTTCGATATTTTTCTCGCCGTTCCTCTTCTTCTTCTCCAATCCTGACAGAAAATTTACATACAAGGAGGAGGACTGACGAAGGTGTCGAATCTATCAGTGTAAATTAAAAGGGGAGCAATGACGGTAATCAACAACAAACCCAAGACTATATGCCTCACCTTCATGTTTTTTTCTCTGTTTTATGAAATTTCTATTATTAGAACGATTTCTTTACCACGAAAACCAAGAATAGAAAAGATAATGAAAACCAACCACTGTCTGGAATTGATTTGCAGAGAGAAGAAGAAGAACAGAAAGATGAAGAGATTTGTATGAGAAAGGATTCTATTTATGGGTTTTCAGTTATAGTCTTTGTAGATCTAGATATATATTACATTGTATTAACCATGAGATTTATTTATTTCATCCGTATTCAATAATGTTATACGTGAAGGATAATGTTTCAAGCATAAAAATAAGGATAAATTATAGCCAATATCACTTAATTAGTTAATAATTCCTCAACTTAATTTTTTTTATTTTAGTATGAAATTTTAATTTAAATTAATTAAAATGTTGACTTGTTAAATCTTTAATCATGTGTCGAATGAACATTAGTCTAGATATAATTTTGTTATTAAATTCTAAATATTTCAATTTCAAATGTCAAATTTTAATCTATTTATCAATTTGATTATTATAGATTTGTCACTTATCATTTATGACAAAACTAGACTAAAACATTTACATTTTACTTCTATTTCTATTTAGCTCAACTTTTAACAAGATCCTATCAAAATTGTTAAAACAACGACACACCTAAATGTTGAAAATTAATTTTGAAGTGTATTATTCATATTCTCCAAAAAAAAATTACATTGTTTGAGTTCTCAAATAAACACTACAAATTCGAAAGGTCCTCAAACACTAAAAAACAATAAGCTTTTTGTAGGATTTTTAAAAAATTGAAAATCTTTATATTGATAAAGTGGTAAAAGACAATCAGTTGACGGACACTTACTATGACAGTGATGGTTTTCAACTAAAAACAAATCAATTTAAAATTGATACAAATGCTAAAGATCATCCACGTCTGGTATAGCTTACCATAAACAATAACTGAACAAGAATCCAGCAGCACAATCAATGCAGAGAGAAACATCTCATATTTATTCTATAATTAGATTTAGACATTATTGGTAGTACAAAATCTTATATACAATTTAAGTGAAATCCATAAAGAAAAAGTGTCGTCGGCAAGACTCTGATTCAATGCACCAGTCACTGTCCAACAATACTGCTACAAATACGATATAGATGTTCTTATCATAACATAATGACATTCCAACAGTTATAAAATCCAGCAGTCACCATTAAACATCTCTATTTCGACTACAAACTCATATCATAAGATAATATATTCCAACAGTAAAACAAATCCTGCACACAAGGTCTAGTTAATCCCCTGTCATTGAAATGGAGACGGACGACACGAGAATATTTCTATCAAACCAATTCCGGGAAGGCTTCTCCCGCAAAAAAATAAGCACGTCCCCTGCTCCTAACCTGCATGCACTTAGTTTATCGGATCCAAACAATAATCACAGCCAAGAAGGCTACAACTTAAAGCAGTAACATTCCTAGTAAAAACCATCTCACCAGAGGATCCACGCATACCATTAGGTTGATGTTTTAAGTTTAGCTAGCTCGTCCAATGCAGCTTTCAGTGGTTCGCTGAGCCTGCTTTTCTTGGCCTATAGATCACACCAATAAAAATTTCAAACTAGCATCTTTGTTTCTTTTAAACCAAGAAAAATAATCGTCGTCTTCTGATTTAAGGAAAATACTCGTATTGGTCGAACCTGCAAGGATCGGACGAGAGCATAAACTTCCTCGACGGTTTCTGGACAGGTATTTGCAATCATACAAATCTGCAACAAGAAGTTGGAAATTAGACGGTTGCATGACTGTTTCAAAGTAACCACTTAGGTTAAGACACTATACCTCACTGTTAGAGACACCATGTTTTGAAAGAGATCTGAGATTTGAGTTAATGGTTCAAAACAAGACGAAGCACGAAAGATTAATGTCGTGTAAAGCAACAACCAACAGCAAAGGAAAATTATCTAAAGGAGTGCCATTGGAAACTAAAAACCAAGGATACTGAAGAACTTTTCGAACATACTGCGAATTGGTATAACGGCTACCACCCTTCGAATACTGCAGTCCCGAATGAAATGATCTAAAAAGGATGATGGGTTAGAGCAAATTGATGAACCGTTCCGCACGAGACCAAAGGTTCAAAGTAAGTTCTTACTCGGGGAGCTTAATAGTTGGATCGCCAGAGAGTACAACCATTTGATCTTGAATGCCTTCTAAGATACTAGCAACCTCACAATCCATAATGCATTTAACATTTTCCGGAAGTTCTGAAAATAATGGAAAGGACCTTTACAGTTTAGTCAAAAAGCTTCCGATGCAGATCTTAGAGCCAAAACTAATTTAAGAAAAGAAAGGGAGAAATGAATCTTAAAAACCAGAGTAATTAAAAGAAATAACCGGGAAAACAGAAGAGGAACTACAACAAAGTTCAACAATCAATCAGAAAATAAATAAAAATGTAAAACCGAGGCAAACAAAATAAAAACCAGTATGCAACACATTAGACCAAGAAAAGTACCGGCTACCAAGAAAAGGAAGTGCACAGCTAGATACATAGAAAGAAAATATGTTACATTGGCAATTTAACAGCATAAAAACTTACAACAAAAGTAAAGAAAAAGGATTTACTTCCTTGAAAACAAATGTATTTTTACTATTTTATTGTTTTCATTCAGTGTTTAAAAAGGCACGCCTAGGCACTAAGGCGGAAGGCGATGAGTCTAAAACACTTAATTGAGTATGGGGGAGGCGACTTCAATAAGGCGTGTGAGGCATGAGCAACACAAAACAGTCCTTAACATAAGAAAGTGGACCAAGAGTATAAAAGAGTAATAAAAGGAAAAGTTATTTTCTTCATATCTTCAACTCCAGCGTTGAATATAAGCCTTTCCATTGATCAAACATACCCAACACATGAAAGTAGAACACGAAGGAAGCAAACATACCCAAAGTAGGCAAAACATAAACAACACACAAAAGTAGAACAGAACCAAGGTGGTGGCCGTGGATTGGAAAATTAATACAAGGTTTTATGGTTTTTAGAGGCTGATAGTTTGTGCTTTTTTTTTCTTTCTAAATGTGATTTTACAGAAGACGAAACACTATCTAGGGCTTACATTACCATTAAAAACCAAAATAGGAAGATAAGGGTTTTTTTCCTACAACAAAGCTTACAAAACCTCTTATCTTAGGCACAATTATTTTTCTTTTACATTATATTATCCCTAAGATAAGGAATTTTGTTTATATGGATCTATTATTTTATTGTTAATTAAATAACTGTGTAAATTTATTAAATATTTTTATTTGATATTAATTTATTATGTAGATGATATGGAGGAAGCAAATTTGACAGAGGAAGATGATTACATATGATGTCATATATACTTTAGAGATTATGATATGGCTAGCTTTGTCTATTTACAGTGTATATGCTTCCTATTGCATGATAAAATGCGATGTTATATGCTTTTTGATTGGAAAGTTAAAAGTAATTAATGAAATGGAGAGCTTTTGTTGGACTATTATATGGTTTAATGGACTATTTTAGTAACTTGTATCTGCAGATTAGTAAATAAATCTTTAATTTAAAAAGTGTGCCTCAAATAAGGCGTGCGCCTCACACTTGCGCCATTTTTTACATTGTTTTCATGTCCTACAACTTGAAGTACTGTTAATCATTTTAATAAAGAAAAAAAGTATAAATACGACCTAAATGCAGACTCGACAAAAGAACTAACTCGGTAAAACAAAGAGTAACAAATCATTGAAAGTAACATGAATGGTAGATAAGGCAAGTAAAAACCCTGTTCAACTCTGAGCTCCAATGCCTGTGATTCTTTGGCCACATGAGTCTTTCCACCATTGCTCACCTTGTCTCCTTTTCCACCTTGTACATTCCATTTTATGCAGTATCAATAAAAACAGGCAATACCATAAAAAACAATAGTAAATATAATTCCTTTACTGAAAAAAAAACCCCAAGAACCGAAAACCGCAAGGTACCTTTACCGAAAGGGGTTGCGAACTTGCCATCAGATTTTCCCGATGAGAAATTAAACTGAACATCAGGTGAACCTAAAAGGAGAGAAAAATATAGACAAAGCGGGACTTGTAAGGAGAATAAAGGTAAAAGAGAGTCATGTTCACAGAGGAAAAGGGGAAAAATCAACCTTCAGTTCCGAACTGAACTTTCCTTCCCTTCTTTGATTTTGCTGAACTATCATCTTTTCCTTCCGATATTAATGAAGTCACGGAAGAAGGGTGTTAAATGATAACAAAGTATTTACATCCAATAGAGTGCATGCATGATATCAAACTTTGTTCTTATGTATAATGCCATAGAAAAGTTACAGAGAAATACAAATAAGAAACGATAAAAAAACACCCAGATTGATTTATAACAGTAAGGAACAAGAGGCAGCATGCAATACCAGGCAGTTTAGGATATGTTTGATGAATTGTACGACTATGGGTAATAATTAAGTAGTAACAAAGTAGAGGGTTATGCACCACGAGAGAGCAATTAACAACTAAATAAAAGATTTAAAAAAACAGTAGAGGGATCAAAATAAGGCATCATGAATCGAAGTAAAAAGAAGAGAGAAGAAAGTCAAACCAGAAGATGATTTGAGAGAAGATTTGGTTGTTGATTTGGTGGGCAATGTAAACATTCTGCCTCCCTTGTCCGACATTTTCACCACCGACTAGTAGAATCTATGAATTGATCATTCAAAACCCACACCGTTTTTAAGCCTTTGTTCTTCCCCCACAAAGTGAAGCGTAAATCATTCGATAAAAATAAAACAAAAACATGTAATCGCAAACCCAGTGAAAAGATGTTGAAAAGAAATTACCCAATCGAGCAGACTGAGTGGAGCTGGAGAGTTATACACCAGAGACGGGAAAAAGAACTGCTGTAGACTATCTGCGTTCCTTCTTCAAAACTTGGTAACTTTTGGCTGGCGGGTCATGAAAAATTTATGCTACTCGTGTTTTCTGTGTGGGCTTTGTTTATGTCTTTTGGGGCTCAAAAACAAAACACTAGTCTGTTAATAATTTATTATTAAATCATTAAAAATATTAAAATAAATATTATTTTTAATTATTTTAATTTAATTAAAAATATAAATAAAGTAACTCAAGATGATACGTTTAGGGATGACAATTTGATAAGGTTAATTTTTATATTAAAAAATAGGTTTTTTGTTGGATTAAGTTGAATTTTATGAACGATGTGTATGGTTGAATACGAGTCTGGTAAGGACGGATTCAGGATTAGGAATTGTCAGGGATTGAAATATTAAATTTTTTTAAGAAACATACAATAGTTTATAGGTATTTAAAGTTAAAATTCAGGAGATAGTGTTTAATATTTAAATTTACAATAACCTAAATTGTTATTAGACCAAAAAATCGAGAACATTGGATTATCATTATTCAGTTCAACCCCTACAAGATTAAATATTTAATAAATTCTTTTTTTTTAATTTAAATATTTATTTTTAGATGAATTAAAAAACTATTAGATCAAAATCTATCGAATATAAAAAAAAATTTACAGGGGCCGAGACCCCTTTAGCCCCCAAGAGAACTCCCTAGAGTCTGGTATGAAATATCTTTGATTTTATTAACCTAGGATAATAACTTAATAAGATAATTTTGATAATAATTATTATAATGTCATTCTTTCTATAATTCTTTTTAATTAAGTCTCTATTTTTGTCAAATATAAATAATATTTTAGTATTTAAGTTGAATCATTCAGAGTTTTTATATTGACATTTGGATTAAATTTTAAATAAAAAATCTTTCGAAATTCGAGTCGAATCGAATTCAAATAAAAAAAAATACTTTTCAATTTAAATTAGCCAATAACCCGACTTATTGTTATCCTTAAATACACTAAACAAATAGTCATGTTGACAATACATATAGATAGTGACGGAGGTACATAGGAACTTTGGGAGCCACTGCCTCCCACATTTTTTTATCATTAAATAATACTGAGATAATTATTTATTTAAATCTTTAAATTTTGATTTATTTTGATTTTGTTTTTCATTTTCTATTATTAATTATATATTTTTCCCCTTAAACTAAAATCCTAACTTTATATCTGTATATATAGATTAACATACAACCCAAAATACCAATTTATATAAAGTTAATTTTATCATTATATCAAATCAGTAGCAATAGTGTCTATTATCATTGAAGTGATGATAAATATGTTAATAACCTTAAACATTCAACTGATATATGAATTTACTATTGATTGAACATAATTAGTTAAATTTCCAATCCTAGTTGATCCATTTCATCATGAACAAGATGTACAACCAACAATTTCATAACCCTCTAATGCTAAGATTGTAGATAATACGAGACAATCACGATAGGATTGTAGATGAGAGAGACAAATCACGAGATATTTAAGATTAATTCAGTCAAAGTTTAATCAATTCTCAAATTGAATGCACTTGATTCGAGCTCGAACTCAACTTGAATTCTTAACGAGCTAAAATGAACTACTTGATATCCAATTCCAAAAGTTTGTGATCAACTTGAAAGAATAATATATTAAACTTTTAAAATTTTAAATTAAATTATTAACAATATTAACATTTATATGTTGTTTTTTCTCCAATATATATATATATAATATAAGACTTTCATGTACTTAAGGTTCAAATTTGAACTCGAGTTTGAACTTTAATTGAGCTAAATATAAAAATATTTCGAGTATAACAATTTTAAGTTCGTGAATTTTCGCTTCGAGTCGAGTCGAGCTCAACAGTACTCAAGCTCGACTCGATTACAGCCCTACTCCCTGCAAGTAAAACATATGTAGAAACCTAAAGTAACAAAATTAACACAAGTGAACAACACACTAGGATTCAAAATTTGCTACCACTACTTCCAGGACAACATCATGATCCTTAAAAATCTTCAAATCTCAGTCAGGTTGAACATTCCATTGTACAAAGAAAATTTTGCCAATAAACTACAACAAAAATTTCTCCAACTTCAGGTGAAAATAATATTCTCAGTCATTCTGTCAAACCAAAGTGTGAATGATGAAAGTTGCATGAGCATTTCAGCTTCATTCAATCACTAGTCACCGAATAGATCATCTTCACTATCATCATCTTTAGAGGCGGTGTTACTTCCCGATTTTCCACTTGAAACATCAGTACCCTTTCCAGTAATAGCATCCTTCGTAGGAGAAGATGACCCTTGTCTGCCGGTCAAACTATCGGAACTGTACGCCCAGGAAGAACCCACTTTGTCGGATAAAGATTCTCCATAAAGATCATCGTAGATCCCACCTTTAGGAGCATTTTTTACCTTGTTCAAGACTTCTTGCAGCTTATCGGTCACGCCTTTCTGAATAACTGATGATTGATCCTTACCTTTAGGAATTACGGTTGTCTGTACTAGAGATTCATATTTGCCAACAAGACTTCCTTCTTTCACACCTAGAGGTCCAGGTTCAGTTTCTACATCTGCACCATCTGAAATTCCAACAACTTCAACCAGTTCACCTCCAGCATGATCCTTGAAGGTCACTTTTAGTTTCCTCATTCTCTTAGCGTGTCTCCCTGACTCTGTGTTGTCTTCTGTTCCAGCTAATGAGATGGAAGACACACTGGACTTTGGCAGCAGGTCGGGTTTGGTCAGACCGTAACGATTTATAAGTGTATTATACGCAACAACAGCTTCTTCATCAGAAGGATCAGGCTTTGGGGGTAGATTTATCTCGGCGGGAGGTGAGGGACAAGGAAACAGAGCAGCGTTGTTCTTGCGTAAGATATAAGTTCTTGTTGATGCAGCAAAGCGCAAAGATTGCCCTACTTCAAGTTCAACAGGTGTATCTTTTTTCAAACGCTCATTTGCAACAAATGTTCCATGTGCTGACCCCAAATCGATTACATAAATGCTGTTAAGATTGTTACAGCTGATCATTAAAACTTTACATGTGGTTTTAAAATTAACAAGAGAGCTTTCTAAATCAATACTATATCCAAGAATGGAGACGAGGATTTGATTTCATATAAATAGAATTAGCCAAAAACTACAAATACAAGGCAATAACTAGAAGAGCATCAACTTATTGAATTGTCGACCAGTAAACTCAGCGAAGTGGAAAATAGAAAAGGAAGTGACCTGCCATTCTTGTGAGGAACGACAGCAGCATGCTGACGTGAAACAGACTGATGATCAAGCACGAAATCGCAAACATGATGTTGCCTTCCAAAGATGTGCCTGCGTCTATCGAGTTCAATGCGATCAAGCACCTGTCCTTCCTTAAGAACTTCGAGATGATAAACACCAGGGCGAGGCTCAATTGCCCAATCAGGAGGCTGCCAAGTGGATTGACCCCCACCAAGCTGAGTGGCAGGCTGAACCTGATTTTGATCCTCCCGCTGAGGCTGAGCAGCCGCATTTTGAGAACGTTGTTGAACTTGAACAGGAGTCGTTGCCGGGGAAGAATTTATTGAGACCGAGAAAGGTTCCAAAGATTGAGCTTTCCTGAATTTCTCAAGACCACCTCTCCCATACATGTTTTCCCCTCTTTCTATCAATGATAATCACTCGGAAACAAACAAACCCAGTGTATTCAATAGTTAATTACTAATATTCTTCTGTCACTACTCAGAAGCATCAGCATAATTCCATACATCAAGTTTAGCAGCAACCCTCCAACTCAATCATTCACAGAACTGCAAACCTAGGATCAAAACCCCCATGAACACATCAAAATTCTAAGTTATGAATAACTAAGAGAATCAAACCGGGATGGGTTTAGCTTAAATTTTGCAGAAAATGGATAGGAATTCGAAAACCCATATTTTTCCAACCAATGATACAGACAAATTATGGACAAAAAAGTCTACTTCGAAAAATGATCTAATCTTCTACAACTAAATACACAAAAAAGAAAGAAGAACATAGATATGGATGAAGTTGAATAATAGCAGAGCGAGAGAGAGCGATTAAGAGACTAACCTTTGGGCAGAGAGCGATGACGGGGAGAAAAAGCAAACAAATCGTTACCACATAATATACAAATTCAACACTCTCACTCTGTACGTATCACCATCTTCAACCGAAACCCAATTCTTTGTTTCCTAAGGCCAAATCAACAAGCAGCAAGAAGAAGCTTTCTTTGTTGCTTTCAGCGCGCTATGCCGGGGAAGGGAAATGGGATCCACATCCGCTACGGCTATTTATTCCCTGTGTTTTCCTTTCTTTGTTTCCTAATTTCTGAGAGTTAAACCAATTTTATTCAGGGTAAATTACCTATTGGTCACCAAACTATTACAAGTTTTTACTTTGATAACCAAACTACCACTAGCTTTTTCTTAATTTGATTATAATGATGTTTTTGAAAAAAAAACAGATGATCAAAGTAAACAAAGGTATAATTTAGGGATTAATAGCGTAATTTATCCTTGTTTTTACTTATGGCGATGTATTGACGGGTTGCACTCTGCAGATACTCGAATAGAGTTTATAAATTCAGGTTACACGCTAGTGTGAGGACCTTGAGCCTCAGTACGGATGTCGAAAAACAAAAATTCCTTAGAAGTTGGTCCGACTCGATCTTAACATATATAATTCGTGTTTTACTTTTAGCTACTATAATATAGATCAGTATACCAATAGTACATCTTAGCACGATTTTTCTTTGACTTACCTTACATCACAGTAGCTCGTCGATAAGCAATAAATGTATCATCGGCGGGAACCGGGTTAAAGCAGCCCATAACACACCTGTATTTTCCAAAGGCCGCTAACTTTGGCAGCCTACTCGTACAGATCACGACATAAACAAAGAAGAAAGGTTTAAATACACCTTTGCCCCCTGAATTATACATTTTTACCGAGTTGCTTTAAAGTATTTTTCGAGGCGTTTTGTTCCTTAGACTTTAAATGGTTATATTTGTTAAAAATACAAGGGTAAATTACATATTT